AATAATAATAATAATAATAATAAGAGATCATAAAAATTCCACATGTAATTTGATCCAATTCACTTCACTGCCAATATGACACTTTGACCTGCAGATCGCAAAGTCACCAAAAGGTTTTTTTTTTTTACTAAGGCATTACTGATACAGCTGGGACTACGCTGGGGCTGTACGGAGACCGTACCCCGAAACGGCATGTAACGACCACGAGAGCAACGGGCAAGATGCGATTCCTAATTATTACACTGATAATGACTGGCGACGGCCACACCTCTGCTCGCCCACTGGGAGTCGGCGACGAGGCACAGGTAGTAGGTGGTAATTACCTTCTACCTGCCCGTGCCGCGAGGAACAGGGTGAGAGAGAGGCAGAGAGAGAGAGTGTGAGCAGAGGTACAGAGGTGACATCTGGGGAGGAGGCCTGCCACCTCACAGCAGGAGCAAAGGCCTTGATTCTCTCTGTCGAGATACAGATGCGGAAACATCCGGAAGCATCCCCGCCTGCATGTGTGCGTGTGCTCACACACACACACACACACACACACACACACACACACCTCTGTGGCCTTTTAGAAGTGTCAACAAACAGCGATTATCTGAACACACCCAATCCAATGGATGTGTGATCACACAGGTGATCAAGCCAAAAGGCATTGGCTGTTGACTTATGAGTCTGTGTGTGTGTGTGTGTGTGTGTGTACGCACACATACGAGAATGTCCGTCAATGTGTCCATGTCATAATCTAAAATTACTCAGAAGTAAGCAGCGAGTGAGCAGTGGAACAGCAAATAAACAGCGATGAGTAAAACTCTGGGTAAGCTGGTTGGTTTCCGCGGGCTTGGGCTTGGGGACGCAAAAGTGCAGCCAGGGCACAGAGACGGGCTGCGCTCACGGAACAGCCCGGAAACTCCCCATGCGGCCATCTCCGTACACAGATGTACATCTGCTTCATACTCTTTCGTATTTGCTGTGGGGATTGACTCTGTGTTCTGCTGCAGAGGGTCTCCTAATCCAACCTCCAAAAAAAAAAAAGGATTAAAGCTTATAAAACAGGACTTTGCCGCTTAATTTCTTAGAAATTTATATGAAAGAAAAATGTAATTTTATGGAGGGCATCCACCACAGGGGAAAGCTTTGGACTCTGATCTCGTGGGGGACGTTCTCGTATACCAAGCGCTGGCAGACTGAGGCAGATTATCACAGACAAGCTCCACCTAACAGCCCCCCCCTCACGCTATCTGCCCTTAGATTCCTCAAATGGCTCATCTGCATGACCTTCCTCCCTCCCCCGGAGGCAAGGCAGAGCCAGGGACAGACTAGGACTCCCTTTTGTAACAAACCATGGAAGCTTCGTGGGAATGTGGTACTGGGGTGGGCGAGGGGGCCGGGGATGTGTTACGGGTGGCGGGGGAGGCTCGTCCCCCCCTCGCAGCTCTGCACATCGCGTGACACGTTAGCATGAAGCGCTACGCTATGGGTCGTGCGAGCCCATTGCCGATTGACCGGCATATGCAAAGGCAGCTTTGCCTACGAGGAAAGAACTGGCCTAGACATGGATGCCCTGAGGGACAGAGATGTGGTAGATAAGGGCCAATGAGGCCTGCATGGCTGATAGACAGACGGGCAGAAAGATCAGCACAAGCGGACGATCGATGGCATGCGTGTGCAGAGGACGTCCCAGGCCGACTGACCAGCCCGAGTGTAATAGGGAGCAA